ACTGTCTCAGGTCTTTCATTGTTGAACCTTTTTTTTTTTCAGCTGATTATGGTGTCTTTTATGTTCAAATCTTTTCCCTTTTACCATGAAAATCAACTTCCCGATTCTTGCTGATATGCCATCTTTCCATGTTTCTTTGCCATCCTTATATGCTCTAAAGACCATTTTATCACTGACCTTGAAACTTTTGGTGTCATCTGGAATGATTAGTGTCAAAAGGGTTTGAAGAAATAAAAAAAAAAGATTGTCAGATTTATCATTAGCACACTTTGATCCAAAAGCAGAAATTGTAGTAGAGTCAAATGGTAGTGAGTATGATATTGGAATGGTGAAATTACACAAATACAATGGTGGTAAAATGAAAGCCTTCACTAATGCTTCATGCTCACTTCTACCAGTGGAGAAAAATTACAGTCACTCAAAAAAAGAGGTTCTAGCAATTATATTTGCTGTGAAAAATTTCATAAATTTATTCATGGAAGAAATTTTATGTTGCAAACACTTTCCACTTTACTCCTTTTTTAAGTAGATTGTTCAGTGGAACTATGAAACTATGCATATTATGTACATATATTTGATAGTGATTAGCCAGTCTTAGAAAAGCTTGTAACGTAGTCATGTTTGTTGGTGGAGGCATATTTTTAATTGTATTTGCCCTCAATAGATCTGGTTGATGACCATTTTATCAATAATTTGACCAAGGTATTTAATTTTTGGCAAAAAATCATTTTGCATTTTTCTTCACTGAGCTTGAATCTGCACTCTCTTAGTTTTTCGAAAATTATTTTTACATACCAAACATGTTGTTTTTTAGATACACTTTTGATTAAAATACCATCCAGATATGTCAATGTGAAATTGCAATCTGCTCTCATGGTAACCATAGCTTGTTGAAAAGTAGCTGGTGCCATCTTTATACCAAAAAGATGTTGGTTAAACTTATGTAATCTACTGTGCGTATTTATAGTCGTTAGTCTGAACATTCATTTTTAATCTGAATTTGTAAATACGCTGCAGAGAGAGCCAGCTTTGAAAATATTCTTCTGAGGTTTAACTTCGAAAAAATTTCCTCTGGACTTGGTAATGGGTAGTTATGTGTTTCTAAATGGCTGTTTAATCCTGTCAAGAAATCTGTGCAAACACAAATTTTATTTTTTTTCTTTGCGGCAGCCCATTTTGAATGGTTAATTTTTTCTATTATACTAATTCTTTTGAGTCTGTTCAACTCTTTGTTGACTTGTTCCAATTCTGCAAATAGTAAGCTCAATTTTGGCTTAAATACTGGCGTTGAACCTTTTTTTACTTGAAAATCTGCCATGAATTTTGAAGACAGATCAAATTCATTTGACAGAACATCCGGAAAACATTTTTTTTTAATTCTTTCCTTAAGATTTTCACTCTAACTTTTTAAATTAGTCGCTTAGCCACTTACATTTTTACAATAAATATTTATCGGCAAATCCCAAAGTTCAACTAGTTCCATCCAGTCAGTACCAAATAAATTTGTAGTATTTTTTAATGCCTAAACTTTAATTTTTACATGCTTATTACAGAATGAGACATTACAAGTTATTTCTCAAAAAAAAAAAATTTCTCGTCAGAAACTCAGATCACGACTTTGGAAATCCTTTTTAATAAAGGATTCTCAGTTTCTTTCCTTGTGATTTCATTGATTATTAAAATATCACTACCAGTGTCCAGTAGAATTTTTCTCACCCACATTATTTATTTTCACATTCACAAATTTCTTTTTGTTTTCTGTGGCCATTTTTTCTGTCACTGTGCTGTGTATGAATTTATTTTTTGTACATTTGTGCTTTGCTTGTACCAGTGCACATTTTTTTCTGAATTTCTTCAGCCTCATGTTTCAGACATAGAATTGTCTGGCAATTGTCCACTATTTCATGCAGTGTAAGATTATTGTTTTGTTCAATTTTCATTAAAATTTTCACTCATATTTCAGCATCTTTTTTTTAACTGTTAAGCTTTGCACAAAAATTAATCCTTAGAACATATCTGTAGTCATTTCCTTTATTTTAAACTTTTCACATTCTCTGTTGACAATACTTTCATATATGAAAAAAAATTTTGTCCTCTTTTTTGTTTAGATTCATGCACTTTCAACAAGCATTACACAGTGAGCTCTTGTCACTAAAGATTTTTGTCAGAATGTGTGCTTTCACTTTTTTTTTTTTTTTTTCAGTAATATAGAGTTGCAGTATTTTTCATCCTCTATCAGAGCTATTTTCCTCAACAACAATCTTTTTTTTTTTTTTTTTCATCTTCCTGGCTGCTGCATTCCTGACTGAATATTTATTCATATCTACAAAAATACACAAAGAAATCAGTCCCTCATCAGGATTGTATACAAATTCTGATAAATTGTTGAATAATTTTTTGTTTACTTCAAAATTATATCCAACAACTCTTGTTGCTGTTTTTGTAGTTCTAGCAACTGTTGATTTTGTTATTGTTGTTGAATTTCAACTATTGAAGCCAAAATTTGCTCCATATTCACAAGAATATTTTTTTTCTACACCCAAGAAAAAAAAATTTTTTTAAATCAATGTGGTTAAAATTCTTGTTGTCACCTGTATCCTTGTTCCTGTAGCAACAAGTATATATTTTTTTCATATACTTGTTCACTCAGTATGAGTTTCCAAAATCCTTGAACCTCAAGTTACAACTTGTGTAAGTTCCTGAATCTTCGTTACTATTATAAGTCAGAAGAGTTTTGAATCCTTGTCACAATGGTTATAAATCATCTGAGTTTCGAAACTCCCATTGCTACAGTTATAACACACATTGTAGTGCTTGTAATATAAGTAATGCTTCAGCAACAATCAATAATGCCTGTATTTCTTAGTCTGAAGACTGACTCCAAATGGCTTCTTACTTCTGACCTGTAGCTCTTTATAATTATGGACAAGTTCATTTATTCACTGTGGGGGAGAGTGTACTATTTACTCCACAATGGGGAAAGTATCTTTTGCTATTACAATGTGCCTTGAGATTTCTGTTACATTTTCCTTTGTTAAAACTTTTCTCAGATAGTTAAATTTCAGTCATGCTAACTAAACAGCATAATTAATTCATACAGGCACTCAATGTCTCATTCACATTATGAAGCATAAAAGAAACAATTGATTTTCTTTTTCATTTCTATTTATTTATGTTCACAATGATGTGCTATATTTATGTTGACCAAGAACAGTTTTATTTCAAGTGTGAAAAATAATCTTTTTTGGATGGGAACTGTGCCAATTCATGAATAGAATAAAACAGGCTAAATTGTAAATATTTAAAATATAAAGTTCATTGATGCAAGTCTATTATAGTACAGATTTTCATTCTGTTTTTTGCATTAATATTTTTACTGTATATTGGGTGAATTGAAGGGAATTTATAATTCCTTTGCAATGATTATTTAAGATCAAATCCTTTCAGATGCTAATGTCATTAGTAGGAAAATAAAAATGAAGTAAAAAAAAAAAACCCCATAAAACAACAAAACACATGATCTTTAAATATCATCCAAACATATATTTTTTTCATAATCATTTATACTTATAAACTTACTCATTTAAACATGCATTTATAGGTGTATATACAAGGGGGTGCAGAGAAATTTCCTAAAATCTGATCAAACATCAAAAGTTTTTGGAAGGGCTCCTTGGTTGGGCTGTGTACTTTTCAGCAACCCTTTTTCTTAGTCATAGAAGAGAAATTGTATGAATTTAATAAAGCAATTTTTAAAAAATAATTTTACTGCCACTATTTTTCACTATATTATAAAAAATTATCCCCTCTACTGTGTGCTTGACATCACAGAGCCAAGTAATAATTCATGGAATTTATTTTCCAGCATAAAATCTTGGCTTGATAAATGGAAATATCTCAATTTTTATGCAAACTGCATTATGACCATTTCGGAAATTAATCTGTTGGAGCCTGTTTATCCAGCTTTTGTTGCTATCTGAATGTTGGAATTCCAAACATTTAACAACAACACATCTTTTAAATGAAACATGTAAAAGGTTATTTTCTGGAGGAAAAGTAAAAGCAGAATGTCAGTTGAAATAACATTTATATATTCTTTTCAGAAATATACAATATAATAAAATATTCAATATTCTTTTCAGTGAAATTTGTTTTATGGAGTAATTAAGTGTTCTTAGGGCAGTGTGAAATAGGTGTACAAATTTACTTTGATGGTCAGCCTAATCTGTGATTTTGTAGACAAGCTTAATTGACAGTGGCAGATTAATCCTTTCTGTTGTATGCATGGACAAGTCCTTAGTTGGCAGCTACTGGCTCTCCTTTCCATTGTGCGTATGTGTATGGGTACGTGTATGTGTACGCACGTATATACCAAACTGGCCTCCTGAATTGGTTTGAGCCTTGAGAAGCAGTAGGCTTCTATTTTTATATTTGTAAGGGAATTCCAAATCTAATTTCATATAGAGGTGTGAACTTTTTGAATAAAAGGTTTTCATTGGTTATAAATTAATTTCACACTGGCTCACAAAAATCTTTTTCATGAATTTGAGGGAGTGGTGAGGGAGTTATTGTTATTTTCTAAATGGCCCAAAAATAAGGTGGTAGGTCTACAACTACGTCTACAAGTATTTTGGCAGTATTTGCCCTTGTATTGATTGTTTATCAAAGAAACCTCCTGATGGGATTTTATTGGTTGATAAATATGTATAGAAGTTAATTTCTATAAACCCTTAAATTGCTATTGTTTTTGTTATTTGACCATGCTGGTTGAAATGTTATAATTTGTGTCAAAAAAACAAGTGGGTCTTTTATTTCTACTTATCATGTTTTTAAATTAGACAGCAATTTGATCTTTTTGAACAGATATTTTCAGCTCTAACAAAAGTAAAAATATTTTGTTGATTTTGATTTACATAATCTATTAAATACATTATCCACTTCAAATTTCAGTTGAGGAACTAATATTTGAGTGCTTTTTATCCTTTTTTTCTCTCTCTCAGCCACTGGTCATGTCTGACCTGACTCGCCTCAACATCATGGATCAGGTTCACTTGGCTGGAGAAGATGAAGATGAGTTATATTCAGGATACAATGAGTTCAACCCAATATTTGACACTCAGGTAAAAAAAATTATTATTTGGTCTGACTCACTTCTAAAAAACTGACCAAGATTTGCTTCTTTATCAGGGGCTTCCTGGCCAGGCTGAAAACTTTTCGGCATCCTTTTGTATATTTAAAATACTTTTTTGTTTTTACTTTAAAGTTTGTTCCTCATTAGTCTTTGACAATATTTTTCTACTGAAGTAAGTGGTACCTTGCTTTACCATCTTCAACTTGTACATGACTAATTTGACTCAGCCCTAAAAAGCCTGTTTCAAGTCAGTTTGTGCTCAATTGTGATTAGTGTTATGCTACTTCATTGTCGTCCATTGAATACTAAATGTTCCTCCCCCCTTTCATGCTTACTAAAGAATTGTAACATTATTATTTCTAAAGAAACTGCTGAAACCTTTTTTATGTAAATGAAATCTTGATATAAGATACAAGAAACAGACCTTTACCATAAATATGATTGTGAAATACAAGAAAAGCAGAGGGATAACAGCATAGTTGAATAAAAGGACATTCTGCTAATATATTTCAAACACTTGTAGTTTTATTTCTTATTAAGTCATTAGTACTCTTCTTGTATCATTATTTACATGTGGACTTTTACTCATCATTGTTGTTAACACAATATTTTGGCCATTGTGCTTACCAGACTTCATCAGATGTTCTGTTGATCTTAAGGAAATTTCCAACTGAACACTTTATAGGGGAAATGGTTCTTGTTCTGCTGCCCATGTCTAGGGACAATTTAGTACTATTCAGTTATTGCTTGCCCTGTTTCCACTGAATTCAAGTAGACACTGCTCAGCCCAGGGATTGAACTCACAATTACAATATTATCAAATTCATGAATCAATGTTTTACTCTACAAGGCTATTGTACTTGGACTCGATAGAATAATAAATGTTACCAGGATTGAACTCAGGAACTCACGTTAACAAAAATATGTATAATACTCTTCTAATGAGCTGGCCCATCTACTAATTAAAATGAACATTTCCAGGTTAATAAGAAAAAAAGCTCTTGATATTTATTTGGTTTGAGAGGATTTAAGTGAACTTGTTGAATCTATGCTAGTAAGCCTTGACAGACACAACAGCCAAAATGTTATGATAATAACAATAAAGATAAGGACAATAGTCCATATGTAAATAATGTAAGTAATGATACCTGCTTATCCCAGAAATTCAAACTGAAACTTTCATAGGTAATCTTTTATTACTTACTATAATTATGACTGCCTATCATTGTCTAGAGCAAATTAGTTTTTATGATCATAAATTTAAATAACCATTGATCATATATACTTACTCTTTTGTCAGTGATAAAATGTCTTGTAGACTTGTAATTCAACATACCAGCAATTGTGAATGAAAGTAATAGCCATATATTTATTTTATAGAATAAATAGGTAAATTAAAAAAAAATATTACCATTTGTATAAATTAAATCCAAAAGTTATAGCATGTCTTAAGAATTGGATGCATTATCTAAAAATGTTAATAACATTTGGGAAAATGAAATGGGAATTTAAAAATTTCTAGTCTTTCTTTTTTTTTTAATCATTTCACCCCAAGCAAGTCGACAATGCCATTAAGTCACAAGGGGTTATTGGGTGTGGAAGAGAATGAGAAGGCTTTAGCGAGGAGAAAGGACACAAAAAGAAGAGAATTTAGGAAGACAGAAGATAGTGATTGATGTTGTATTTAAATTTTTGAAGATTATTGGTGACAGGGAAGCAAAAAACCATAGGAATTCCACAGGCGAGAAAAGAAACTATTAGAATAGAACTTACAGTTACATCTAGTGATTTCAATAGTAAGACAATCCTCCTTGCTGTCGTATGTCCAGAAGTCGCTTTCTGTCTGCAATCCGTCTAGTCTCGCCGAAGCCTAGAAAAGCAGTGGCCTCCACGGTGGGAAAATGACTTTTTTAATCGGTAGCGTGGTTCTCTTATGCAAATAAGTCTGCTGCATAAAAATGGCAGTAGAAGATACGTAGCAATATTCAATTCAGAGAATGGTTCGATTGATAAATGTGAAAGAGGCAAGCGATAAATTTTGTCTCCTGGTAAGTCACTGCAACTTCCTATTACACTCCAAATTGATCGATGATCACATCAGTGGACAGTGAGGGGCTGGTCGTTTCACCCCTTGCACTTAGCATCAGTCCTGTTGGTGGTATAACCATGACTTCTCCCGCTGAATAAAAGATGTGTCCTGTTTTCTGAATCATATTCGGGGGATCATTACTCCAGTTCAACTACTTTTTTCGCTTTCAGATGAGGTGTCAGTTTTGCTTGCACTGGAGCTTGGTTCTTGCCATTCATTACCCCTGACGTTGTGCCACCGCCATAAATCCGCTGGTAACAATGAAGTGAGCCGTGGACGACATTCCACGTGTCGCGGTATCCCAAGGATGACTACAGATTGCGGACTGTTTATTCCCGTGACCCACCTTTCACAAACTTTGACGTGCAGCATGATTTATATGGATTTTTTACCCAAACTGCGTCTCCTTCTTTATACCGATAAGTCGCCCGGGTTAGGAGAAGGCACAATGTCAAAATTCTAAAGTCTGAATGCAGCAGATTAATAACGCAGAAGAGGCAGACACATCATCCCTGGGTGTAAAATTATACCAATATACGGCCTCCATAATAGAGCAGCTCTTTTCGAGCAATCCGTTTGATTGTCCGATGACACCCTCTACAATACCATTTCCAGATGGTTTTTACGTTTTTTTGCCGGTCGGAATCGGACGCCCCATTGTTTCCATGAATTGTTTAAATTGCTTGCGGAATGCAGTGTCATTATCAGCCAGGATTTTACCGGGCACCATGAAAAACACCGACTCCAATTGCCGGATTACGTTTGTGCAGCGTCTTGACATTGAAAAACTAGTGGTCGCCAGATCGAAAAAATGTAAATAGTCGATCAGAGTTCAGACCCTTATAGTGTGTAATGTCCATTCCCATACCAATTTAACGCATGAGCTCTCCTTTTGCCATATGAGAAGATGCTGGATCTATTGATTGACACTTCTTTCACAATTCATATTTACCGATCTTATTGCTGAAATACGGACGGGTTGATTTCATCGTTTATAAATATAGTGTAATTTAACCCAGGGTAAGGTATGTCGATGGTTCTCAGTAACTGAAAAATTAGTTGGTTTAGACAGCAGAAGCCACATACTGGTTGAACAGGTTTCCTTGTCATTGTTGAACCAGTTACTGGGAATCCTCCAACAAGTCAGCTCGGTTCCAGCAAAATGTCATTGGAGGTTATAATCACAAGAAAACTCTAGAATGGCTTTGTTTGAGCATCTTCGATATGGCCTTGGTGTTTCAAAAGACTTTGTGAAAAGGGCATTAGTCACCCAATGGTTACACGAGAGGGGAGTCTGTGTTCAATGTAAAATGGAAGCCTGCCATCAAAGCAGCGAGGTTGATTCCCCTTAAAGTACGGGCATCCAGTTCAGCCACATTGATATGCTGGGTGTTTTTTATCGGCCGTAGCCAGCATGCGTCCTCGATGATAGCTCCCTTAGCCAACAGGCCATCCGACAGCCAGTAAAGGTTAATATTAGACCACGCCTAAAAGAAATTCAGAAACCATTCTCCTGTGCAGGATCCAGTTGCTGAGCCCGGGCAATGGTGTCCGTTATCACCTGTAACGTCCAGGGAGCATCACAAATTTTGTCGCCCCAGTTCCCGTTACGGCAGTGGCTCATCTGTTTGATGACGCCAACGCCACTGGAGCCATCCACACACGGGAATGTCCCACCAGCCCGGCCACACATGGAGAAAATACCTCTCCGTGTCATAGTCATAGGGCCGTCTACCATTCTGCTTCCTCGTCGCCATCGCAGTTGACCCTGTTCCTTCCATACTTCTAGCCCCAGCACTCTAGTCTGGCCCTGTAACTTCTCTGGATCCTTGCTCGTCAGTCCGACAGAGCTCGAGATGTTTCCTCACAGATTCCGGCCGACACCACATCCTCGTGATATATATATCATCAATATATGCAGACGTTGCTCTATTTATAGTTTCATTCTGTGCTAACACAGCATTAAGCACAGCTCGCATTATCAGGGGCGCCACATTCATAAAAAGAACCCCAGCCTGGTCAAACAATATCTCTTCCCTTTAAACACAACTGTTTGATATGGCCACAGGGATTTTTCAACACGAATCTGTAGATATGCTTTCCTGAGGTCCAGAATGGACACGTTCGCACCATGCTGTCTCCAGTCTCAGTTTTTCACGCAAACATCCGTTGGCACCTGTGAATGTTTCAACGTAATTTAGTTCCCTATAGTCCATCACAGGACGCACCTTATGCTTGTTGGTCTGCAGCACGGCCATCAGTGGTATCAGTCCCTTGGGCGGCCAAACTCCCCTTTGTTACTGTAAATGGCACCAACCAACCATTGTCCATTTCGCTTGTAATTCATTTTCTTCATTACTCCTCTCTCATCTCGGTGGATACTGGATACTCAGAGATCCATTCTGAATTTCCCTGGTGCATGACCTGATTCGACCACTTTCGCACCCAAACTGCCCTGCTGTTCATTGAATAACCTCGGGACTGAAAGGGCCGCTGGACAAATTAAATCGCTGCACAGACGGACCGTGGTTTTTCAAACTCACGCTTCCAATTGATCAGTGGAACTAGTGCCTTAATGGCGTCGATGCCAAGCAACAGGTCGAAATCGGGGTTTCCCTATTTGATAACCAGCACATCGATTGTGTAGGCAGTATTACCAGTTGCCATGCAAGTGCCCTTTCCACAGCAAGCCGAGCAAGGGCTCATAAGGTAGATACCGCCATGCCAGGTATTGACCAAGACCGACATAAAGCCAAGATTGACCATGAGCACCCTGAATCAAGGAGAGCCGAGCATGGTGTGCCGACCAACACACACAGTAATGATGGGTAGCACTGAGTTTACTTGCTGTTTGGGGAGTGGAACAGGCGCAGAAGTCTGGTCCCGCCCGTTTCCCGGAC